TGATCCCACAAAGACTTCCAACCTCCCACACATGAAGGTTTATACTGTTATTTTTTTATCTCTTTAGACTGTTCCAAGTGCCTGGCTGCTACTCAGATTTAGAGAGGACTAACACTATTAACACTGAGACAATCCTTGGAACAAAGTGAGATTAAATACATGGAGAAGACTCCTGCAGAAACCTTCATCTTTTAACAGGCCATGTTCCAAACTCTGTGTGCTAATCTGATACGCAGTTTACTGGAGCACAGAAATTTAAAAGAGTTTATTTTACTTCTATCATTTTTCCTACAGAAAAAGAATACTCTCTAGCTAGTATTTTGCAAATGTGGAAAACATTTTTGGAAAAAAAAGAAAAAGAAATAAAAAGATAAGTTTTGAAATGTACAGTTCACATAGAATGTTCTTATCTAATTTATACCCTTTCATAAGTATAAAGAAAGACAATTCAGAAGTTTAGAAGATATACAGAGCACCATGATCTTCTGCTTAGGAGGAAATTAGGGTCACCAGAAGTAATGAAATGGGAAGTTGACTCTGAAAGTGCAAAACAGAGCAGAAACGTTTCAGTGTGTTACACTTAAATCATGCAACACCTGGAAAAATTGTTTCTAAGCTGACCTACACTAAGACAGTTCTAAAGGTGCCAACAACTACAAGACAGCAGGTTTTAATTTTTTTTTTCCTTGTAAAGTTGCAACATGATTCTTTACTGCTAATGTTTTGGGTTTTTTAAAACAAGAGCCCAATCATTTTTGCAGTCTGTTCTATAATGAATAATGAGCCTTTTACAGCTTCATTCACCAAATTACCCCACGTTTTCTAAATAGATAGTTCTAAAGGTGAAGCCATAAAGGAAACTTCTAAGTGTAGATCAATATTATTTCAATGCAATATGAGAATTGACACTGAACTCTGAAATCCACTTTGGCAGCCATAATGGAGTTTATTCCACAAAATTCTTGCTGTTAACTCAGCTTCTTGCCAGCTTCTTTGCTGGAGAAGATGATCTGTGTATACCAGTATGTGTAAATAAAAACAGGTGAGAAGTCACACAGCAATAAAGGAAACTTGTTGACTGGACAGATCCAAACCCGACCCAGTGAGTTCATAAACAACAAAAGCACTGTTACCACAAAACTTCACTGGTATTTAACTGAAGGATGTGAAAATGTTCTATTTTTCATCTGTTCTGCAGTAAGTGTAATTTATCAGCAGCAGCACCTGTACATGATTTCTTACTAGGTTAAAAACTCAAAGATTAAGCAATTTGTACAGATTTGTCAATTACGGATTTTGGAGTAAACACTGGAAAGCACACAGACTCACAGACTGACAACTGGATACCTGCATTTCTATTTCTAGGACTCCCCAGTTCCCTTAAAATTTAGAAATAGACAAAAAAAATTGAAGAATAAAATAAAATATTAAAAATACTAAATAAAGGAATAGACAAACCATAGATAATTTTCTGGTACCAAAAGGCAGAATGAAAGTAGACTGGAAACCATCACATTAGCATATATACTAATGTATATACTTTAAAATACTCAAGATTTCTCTCATTCCCACTTCAGTAAGAACCAAATAATTATTAAAAAAAATATATTGTGTTCTTTCCCTCCCTATGCCACTTTTCTATGTAAGAGATTATGGCATGAATCAGTTTATATCACAGTCCTACTGCGTATGTCTCTTCCTTTCTTGATACAAAGTAAACATATCAGAATGCTCCAAAGAATCAGTCTGTAATGATATCAGCTGTAATGATATCAACTCTTCCATTTCTCATATGCAGAATGTGAGGTTTATTTCTGACAGTGATAAGGAGCTTATTTCCTCTTTAAACAACAAAGCCTCAGATTCTCCAACAGTATAGATGTGTAAAGTTTTTACTACCTGTTTATGAGCCCGTATGAGTTATGTCTATGCGTATAAATTAAAAATTATCCCCTGCCACAGACTTGATTGCAAGTTTCTTAATACTTCTTTTTCCTTTTAAAGTTTTTGTCCTAAACTTTAAGTTAGTGAACATTAAACTACGTTTTATGACAAATGGATGATGCAGAAAAGATGTTGAGATAAAATTTCATTTGTCAAATGCCAACTCAGAATATGTATTTAAAACTGGAGTATTAGTCAGACAAACCACATGGTGAAAACAAAAATTGAAAAGAAAAGATTGTCAACTACATCAGTGCCTGATAACCATTTTCTGGGAATTCAAATAGAAATTCTGCCTGCACCTATGATTCCAGAAAATGATGTTCAGTTTTAGGAATGCTAATTGGTTATTAGGGTGAGTATATTTTCTTCTGGATATTTATTTTTTGTCTTGAGCTCACTAATACGTAGCAAATGCTAATCAAAAGCCTGCAATTAGCATGTTTTTGTCTTGCAGACTTTCCTCTGCTAGTGAGCCTTTGTTTGGACCTCCAGCTGCACAGGAAGGTTTGGTGTGCATAAAGGATGGATTCCTGACATTGCCCTCCACAATTTGGGACAGTCACAAAACACTCCAACCAACCAGCCAACCAAAGCAGCAACAGGGCTATAAGGAAACTTGGAAATTCTCAGCTGACAAAGTCTATCTGCTGACCAACAAGTTTATTTTCTTCTTACAATGCAACTTAACACAGTCATTGAAAGCCTTTTTTGCATTTGGGCCATGTTTTCCTTTTCCTAGTTATACCTCCCATGTGCTATCCTAATAATTTCTATCCTTCCACATTATTTTTTCAAACATCTTATCATTTCCACACTTGTAATTTATCCATATTTTTGTAAACTATTCACAGAAATCAACACATTAAAAGCATCCTGATTGCTTTTGTTACTTTTACCAAAACTCCTTTCAGATTTTCAGTGTCTTTCCAATACTGAATGATGAGCAACTGCTTGTAGGCCACAGACAGTTTCACAAGTCAGTCTGCCTAAGTGGACTACAGCTTCTGTGGACTAAGGCACAACATAATCAGGTGTTTCTGACACTTCTTTATCAAAATTATTGAAACCAACAAGGAAGGGCAGAAATACTAGGTGAGAGACACCACATAGAGTTCACAGATCTAGTGAAGGAGATCAAGAGTAATGCAAACCTATTTTACAAAACTTATTATTTTGTGCAATTTCCCAGTCCGTCTAATAGTAATCGGGAACAATATTTAACTATACTCTCTAAACAGTTTATGAAGTTCTGTTTATACCTGGATGCCTGCCCACCCCTACTTTACCTATAGAAATCCACACATAAATGCACAAATGGTACCACAAGACAAGAAAGAACCAAAAAAAAAGCAAATGAAAAATTTGTAAGAAGAAATCTTTTACAAGTACATACCATGTACATTAACTGGTTAACACTTGCAAAGTGACAGCAGAGCAACTAAACTGAGACTAAACCTAAAACTAAACCTTTTCTTAGAAAGATATTATCTCTAGGACTTGTAGATATACTGTAAATATATCTTTCCTGTCTAAAGGGAATAGCACCTTCAGCATCATCATGCTTCTCCTAAGAACATTTCATATAAATTACAGTTATTTCTCCTCTGGTTTAGAGAACTCCTAATGTAATTTTCTTTAAGTCTGAACATGAGAGAAATTACAAACCAAAGTTCTTTTTCCTCCATGGACTTTTATATTCTGGAATACAAATATATCAAAATACCACTGTTACAGAAAAAAATTGTTTCCCTTTTGTTACCAATGTTTGCTCTGGGGCAGGAGGAAGAAGGGGAGGAATTCAATTTACTTTTTTTCTTTTAAATTTCTGGAGGAAAAGCTAAGGGGGAAAAAAAAGGTTGAAGACAGAAGTTTCCTCAACAAGTAGAATGGCAATGGCAATATCACTATCTTCAAACAGTGATATTTCTGATGTGCCATAAACTGTTATCTGCTGTTGTGTTCCTGGGTGAAGAGACAGAACTGCTATAATGCTAAACAAGTAGAGAATCAGTTCATTTTTTTTTTCTTTTTTTAATTCAGGGAAAGAAGTCTTTTCAAATTGTTGCTTAAACACCTCCAGCATTTTTGTTGATGGCAAATTTTTGGGCTCTTCTACCACTAAACTACACATAGCAATAAATAACTAAATAAATCAGACGACCTGCCACAGAAAAACCTTAGTATACATTATCACTTTCAACAAATTTAAACTCAAAGCTATCAAAGAGACTTGCTTTCTTTTCCATCAGAAAACTGAATGAAATCACAAGGTACATTGAGGATTCCAGCTAGCATTTCCACTGCTTTACCACAGAAGTTAAATAATTTGCCAGAAAACTCTCTCTCTAATCCATCTGCACCCCTGGGCTATAAAGTTTCCTCCCTGCACTTTCTCTAGGTAGATGAGGATGGTCATTAACAACGTTAAAATTTGTCTATACATTTGAAAAGCATGCACAGTAACAACCATTTCTGCAAAGCTGTAATCATACATTCTGTTATCATGTACTGGCATTGGAAGCCTGCACAATACAAAAGGTGAAACATAAGCTTGGTTATGTGCTGCTTCCGCATTGCTCAGTCTCATTCCACAATACTAAAATACTACTTTCTGCAGCATTTACGAACATTAACTACAAAAAACCAAGAACTGTAACAACTTCCGCTGAAGAAGCAACTTGAAAATTCAATCCACAATGGCTACCAAGTCAAAACAGTCATACCACTCCTCTCATTTCCAGAGAAAATTACTTTTCTTAAGCTTCTGAGGGGTGGTGCTACTGAAAGTAGGTTAAACACACACATTCAAGACCACATCTATAATCTCATTGCACAGAAGAGCTGATGAGAGCTTTCCAAGGTAAAGCATTAGGACAATGCTGTTAAGCAAACAAAGTCTTTCATGTACCATCACAGGCGTTGGTGTTTTTTTGTTTGTTTTTTTGGTTTTTAGGGTTTTTTTATATTCAACAGCAGAAACATACAAAACAAACCGCAATTACAAAGCTCCCCGCGAGCAAGAAATAGAAGACAATGAAGAAGGTTTCACCCACCTGGGATCTTTCTGAATGCTATCAATGGAAGGTGACCTAGCCAAGGTCCCTTCGGGTGGGATGGCTGGCCCAGATTTGCTGTATGGTGATTCAACAGAAGGACAATACTGCAGCTGTCGGTAGGGGTCTGCGTAATTGGAGGCTGGGCCGGCCGCATAGCTGGCCCTCTGGAAGGTCGCTGTTGCGTTCTGTGTGCCGTGTTGACTGCCTGTGCGCTGTAAGGGTACGGAGTCGACACCAGGGGAAGATGGGGCTACGACAGGAAAGTAGGGACAAAGTAAAAAATTGAGGACCTGTTCACAGAAATGGTTAACCAGGTCTAGGCAGAGGAAAAAAAAAACAAAACAAAACACACACATATAAAACAGGGGTTCAAAAAGAATGAGAAAAAAAACAAACAAAAGAAACAAGCAACATCGTCATTTTCAAAACCATAGAAGAAATAACCGTCAAACAAATTTCTAAATGACATACCAGTTCTGGACTAGAAGACCTTAAAAACAGTTAAACAGATTGTACCAGTGCTTTCACCTGGGGTTTTAACTGGACTCAGATGAAATGAAAGAAGTGCAGGAGCAGCATGGGAATAATCAAGCTAAGATTCCCAACCACCAGTAAGTGAGGTTTTTGCAGTCCTGACAGGTGAAAGTCACTCAGATTCCTCAGCAAAAGGAGAGTCAAACCAGGCTCAAGAGTCCACACTGAGACAGATGGCTCTATGGTAGAAGAAATACCCAGCCATCCCAGATTTGTATTCCTGGTATCCATGAAGCAGATAAAACCAGATACCTGCTGCTGAGAGTTGCTGCATATGCTTTGTCAACCCATCTCCTGCAAATTTCACCTTAAGTTAAGACTTAGGGGACTGCTACTGCTAACTCAATCTGAAAAAGAGCTAAGCACAAGGTGACCATGTAGATGTCTTAATGCATGCCAGCAACGGCTGTGCTTACACACCATAGCTGAAGATTAATGCATTACCAGTTTTGAGCAGCTTAACCAATAGCTTTAAACTGACTTAATGCTTTTGCAACTCAAAAATCTTATTAATCTCTCTTGTAGTCCATTATCTTTCTGTTACAGCACTGGGAAGTGGAGATACAGTCTGCCTTACGATTCTTATTAAACATGCAATATTTTTCAACCAAAGTTCAGTTAATGGCAAATGGATTATCACTGTAAGGGTCAGAGGACCAATATTCACATGATCTTTGGCCTGGACACAAATACAAATTAAATGCTGGCTCCATTCAGAAGGAAACTGGGGCTGTTTGAAGTGGCACATGAACTCATGGTGGTTGCCATTCCCTCCAGTCCCAAGACAACAAGAATATTTTTGCCAAAAAGAGTGGCCCAGGTCCAGGGCTATTTCTAGCTTCAAATTAATATGCTAAACTGCAGACAAAATCACATATCGCAGAGATTGATTTTTATAATAGATTTCCCAATCATTTCTCATTAACATGCACATTTAAAAATAAATATTTAATATACTATAGGTCCATGAAAGGGATTTGAAGCATTTTATCTCAGTGTGTCGGCAAATGAAATACAGTGAGCTTTAAATACAATTATCCCAGTTTTATATGACCTAGTACTTGCCAAAGTTACAACACCTGAAAATTTTAAATTCACATCGAATTTTTGCTTTGTTTTTTCTTTTTCTTACAGCTCTGAAGTATTTAATTTTACAATAACATGTATCATAATTTTAGAACAAACACAGGTAAGTGAGATCACTCACTTATTGATTATCCCATCCCTGGAAGTGCTCAAGGTGAGGCTGGAGGGGGCTTTGAGCAACCTGATCTAGTTGAAGGCGTCTCTGCTCACTGCAGGGAGTTGAAACTAGATGGCCTTTGAAGGTCCCTTCAAACCCAAACCACTCTATGATTCTATGATTATGGTACTTACACATATAGCAACATTTTCCACATTTTTTTGGTTTAATTGTTAGTACATATATATATACTTCCTTAAGAAATGAGTAATAAGACACACAGACCTTTTCATAAAACTGCATCAGTTCAAATGCAATAACATTATTAGCATATTTAAACATCCCATGCACAAATCATGCTAAATTGAGTGTTAGAAAGAAACAAGGCAAACATCACATTTTAACAGAAAGTACAGAATTCAAAACCAAAATTGGGTGCCTTGAGAGAAGAGTAATGAAACAAGTTAGAGAAAATACCAGAAATATTTTCAAGTGAAAAAGCAAAAATGTAATTGTATACTGACATAACATACTCTTAAGCACTGTCATTCCATAGAATATGCTCTTACCTTTTGACAAACTATATGGAGAATTGCAAAAAACCCTACAACACCAATATTGCTGAAAACAAAAGCTTCATTGTAATGTTGATTGCTTTGCAAAATATTCCACAGTTTTTCCTTCATCTCCTTTGCAAGACAGTTCAATGGAAATCATGTTTGCTTTTAAAATATTTGAAAAGTTTTATTTCTGTTTTCTCCTTTGTCTCGTTTTCAAAATAGGTATTTATATGAACTGAAACTAGTTGTCACTCTAACACCTACAAGCTTCTTGAGTCACTCTGATTCATTTCTCAAATTATCTTCCGAGCAGACTGTTGCTTCCTTTTGAATTTTATCACAATGAACACAGAAGTGCCATATTCAGAAAACCTATGACTTAAACATTCACAATTAAGCTTGTTTGGACAGTGCTACCCAGATCAATTAAAAGAAAACAAAAAAACCTCAAACAACTAACACTTTAGAATAACTTCTACATCTAATTTGACTACAGCCACCTGCCTTTAACTATAGTAAAAGAGTTATGCTTTAGCAGACATTTTTACACAAGTAAAACTGAAGCAAAGTCATCTCTTACCAATATGCTTCCCTTGCTTTAACAAACCCCTTTGACAGCCAAACCTACTGACTGAAGTGTGGCTTTTTACACTATGGCAAACTGTCTCTTCTATTTAGCTATTTAAACAGCAAAGCCATATTGATTAGGTCTAATGAGATAAATTCAGAAGACCATTTGCCTCACCCAGCACAGTAAATCTTCACTGAGCACAGGGGCATCCAAAAGGCACACACTTGGAGTGTATGAGAAAGCATTCACATACCAGACACGTTTGCAGATGGTCATGCAACCTTTTTACTTGTTTTTAAATTGAAGACACCTACCCCTTCCTCTAATTTGCTCTAACTTTCACATTTGACTCTCAAATACAAGTCAGCTATACCTTGACCAGAATCAGTTCAGCATAGGTAAGACGCAATACTACTTCAACAAGGATCTGGCTTTGCCCAGCAACAGAAGAGAGGAACAGGAAGGAACTGCAACAGAAGTACAAGTTTCTGGAGAAATGGGCTGCTTTTCCATCTCCCACCAGCCTGGGATCTGGCCTGGTTGAAGCAGAATCACGGTCAAGTCACATTATTGTCCTTGGTCTATGGTTGACCATATTCTTTCTCTGCGTAAAGGTAAAAACAAAAGTCACAGACACACTGTGAAGCAGCAGGTCTAGTTTTGTGGACACCTTGACACCTTATTGATTTAACAAGAAGCTTTAACATAAAGATGTCCACAAAACTATACCTGTTTCAGGTCTTCCAAAGTCCCCAAACTGACAAGGAAATCAAAATTAAAATCAAAGAAGCAAAAGGCTTGAAATACTTATTTATCCTATATTGTATCTTGAAGTGATCACACATGAAAACACTGTTTTTAATAGTGACTGCTCCCCTCACTTTTTAAGGACCTACATGGAAATTCAGTGGTGGATGTCAGATAAGTTTCTCAAGCTCTGCTCTGCTCCTTTTGCACTGCTCAGCCTCCCTGAGGCTCCTTCCTAGGACCATTCGGCACAGCAGCCTTGTAGAGGCACGAGGAGAGGGTGACTGGTACTTGGTTGCCCCTTCCAAGCACAATCCAGGTACACAAGAGGTGCTTGCATCAGTCCACAACCTGTAAGCTGAGTCTGGCTCACACTGGCAGGAGGGCCATAGCACTCCTCTGTGCTGCAGCTAGCAGAGACTAAGCACAAAAAATAACATGCTCAGTTGTAGGCCAATAAATCTCTAAATATTAACAATATTTTAAATTTCAATGTAAGAACATTGTAAGACCTTTCCTTGAAGAGGAAAATTTTAATTGAGGGTCAAGAGAAGGGTTTCACTGAGAATTTCCAAAGTTTTCCAAGTGGGCATTTCACACCGTGCAAATCAAGAACTACCACCTCAGTGATCTCAGCTTGTTACCTAAAGATAAAAGATCTTGTTTTAACTTGGCATGTCATTAATACCTTAAAGATATTGTATCCTCTCAGCCCCTCACTCCTCAGACTGCTAAATCACATCCCCAGCAAATGGAGAATCTAGTGCGCTACACAGACATTTAGTATGTTCTTACAAATCTTTGCCAAAGAGAATAAAAAGACCCTGTTAACTATAATGAAAATCCTCCAAAGACCTGATATATGCCCTCCTCATGGTTCTCCTGAACTCATATAAGAACTGCTAAAAAGTTCAGACTTTCTAGAAGTCAGAGGACATTTTGTCTAGTTAAGAATGATCAGATCTTCAGAAAGGATAAAGTAATGTATGAGAATTATCTTGCTACATCGGTTTGCTGAAAATTACTTAGCTGATGCCTCTGTTTGATCTGTGGATATTACCTTGTAATCTTTTCCTCTTATTATTTGATATTAGACATTCAGTTCCTGTATTAACCTTCTCCTAGTGTCCTTCTTACAGATTTAAAAATTATTTTTTCCCTTTTTTTTTTTTCTTCACTAATTTGCACCTGCAGTTGACTTATATTCTCACGTGACAGATGAAAACTGGATCCCAGTAAGATGTCTTTTCAGTGCAAGGTATGTCCATCATCCCTCCATGAGTTCATAAATGATATAAATTCTGTTGGTAGCAAAACTATAGGAAGATTTATAAACCAGATACTTTTCCCATCTAATACAACATAAAAATAAGACAGTGAATTCTGTATCAATAAGGAAAAAAATCATCAAGTTTGGGGGATACAAACACTTTACCTCAAAAATGTTGAAGTGAGTGCTTTAAAGCATGCACCATCTGTCTTGCAATAGAAGTTTAACAAAATAGATTAGAATCAAGCTACTAGAGAAATGGCAATCCAAAGTTACAAGAACAAACAGTCAAATTTAACACTGTTCAAGACGTATGGTATTACATGTAATAATAACATTATTACATTACATGCAATAATAACAACATTATATGTAATAATAACAT